TTCTTCTTCTTCTTCTTCTTCTTCTTCTTCTTCTTTTTTTCCTGCCTTTTGGTTCTTCATGTAGCTCTGGCTGTCCTGGAACTTGCTCTGTAGAACAGGCTGGCCTTGAACTTGGAGATCCCCCTACCCCTGACTCCCAAGTGCTGGGATTAAGGGTGTGCGACACCACCACCTGGCTTAGTTTATAGACTTTGTACAAGTTTTTCAGACCCTCTGAGAACTCAGCTTGCCCATTTAACAAGACCGGAGCACTGAACTACACCTCCGTTGTCCATTTATTTTGTCCTAGCTGTTTCTAGCTAATAATTCCAGAGGCTACCAGTTATACAGACTGGTTCAAATGGAGGCGCCATAGCTTTGAGTGTTGTAACTTGGTCTGCCTGACAGGGAAGCTGTGGCGGCACTTGGAGGCATTTCTCGTTGTAGAGCTCCTTCTGGATCTTTCTACTAACCGTCTAACTCCTCTTCCCTCTGCTCCACCTTCACTCTCTCCCTGTGGCTCTGTCTCTCACATGCCTTCTTTTAGAAGACAGCATAATTAAACCGATTGAAAACCTGTCATGCACTGGAAAGTCTGCTGAGCAGCTAGAGGACCCACAAGGTAATGTCTGGGCTCTGTAAAGGAGCTGCTTGCTTTGGCTCACTGGTTCTCTTCTCAGCCTCAGCACCAACCCTCTCACAGAAGGCCAGGGTGACCTGCTTCAGAGTCTTGAAGGGCTGGTGGGAAGAGCGGCTTCTCATGGCACCCACAGCGCAGTCCTTCCTTCCTTGAGAAATGTTCTATGCCTATCTTCATAATTATGCTGTAAATTAGTTATGGCAACTTCTAGAAATCACAAAACCCATGCTACTGAAAGTAAAGAATCGTTTCTTGCTTTGTGATCAATATTCCTAGAATTTTGAGGAAAAAATACCTGATGCTCATGTCTTACATATTCCCAATCATTGAAATGAAAGCCGATATTAAAGGCCGTGGTGGATTTCCTCGGGGAGTGATGTTAGTGGTTTCCACAGCGAAGCCAATGAACAGCTTTCAGATTAAAACTCTTCAGCAAACAAGCACTTCGAGCAATAAGCCAAAATAACTGGATGTGATTGCCAGTTCCTTTTACTCTGAGTGAAGTCCTTTGGCAATAGGACAGCATCGTATCTACAGCTGCCTAGTGAATGGCCTCTAATGCCTGCCGTCTCCCCTTCTGCTGCTGTTTTTATCTTCAGTTAGTTATTTAAGCCAGTTTTCATCTATAGAGTGGAAGAAATCATATTAGAAATGACAGACTTAGCTATCATTTCATAGCTATGCCTAGCGCTTCTGTCCTTCAGTAGTTACCGAATTTCCTGTGGGGAAGAGAAGGTAAACAAGGAAGAAGACACTCTGAAGTAGCCACTGGATGTGATCATGACTTTGAACTTCTTTCTAAAACTTTGTAGCTCAGCCTGTCTAGTATATGTGAAGCCTTAGCTTCAAGACCCAGCACTGTGTAAACCAGGTGTGGTGGCTCACACCTGTAATCCCAGCACTCAGGTGAGTGGAAGCAGGAGAATCAGGAGTTCAAGGTCACCCTCAGCTAAATAGTTTCAGACTAGCCTTTTGAAGTAACAGGATGGATTAGTGATTCACAGTGAATACCGATGGTGAGAAGGCCAGTCAGTGCAGGCCGCTGTCCTCGCATAGATATGTTAGTGTTAAGAGTTGCACAGATGTAACAGACACAGGACGCCACATCCTCCAGGGTCTGACAACAAAAGCGGCTCTTTGATCTTGGCTGCTTCAAGAGCAAGCAAACATCTGTGCTTAGCCCCAGGAGAGAGAAAGGACCTGTGGAAAGTACACTTCATTCCTAACTGTCCATTGACAAGTTCTTTGAAACTCTCAAGGCACGCAGAACCCTGTGCACTCTAGCTGACAAGCCTGCCTTGCTTCTGAGTAGTGAGGCTTGCTTATGGCTTGCCGGGAGCTCCCTCCCCCCCACCTCCATCCTTTACCCCTCTCCGCATTTACTAGGGTTTGTCACAGCCTGTCTTGTGACACTGAAGCAGCTCCTGCTGTGTCCTGCTCCTGCTCAGGTACCACAGCACCAGGGCAGAGAGGAGCACATCAGGTCTCTCTGCCTCCCTAGCCATTCCTTTGCTGTGTTTCTGTGCCCACCTGAGTATCTTTCCCCCTCACAGAGCTCTGCGCCTTCCTTTCTTGATTCCTCGGGCTCTGTTCTGGGGCCTGTCCATGTCCCTAGGTCCTTTTGCACTTTGCCTTCCAAGCCTCAGCTGCAGGACAAGCAACTCTGAGCATCACTTATCTCCAAGCCAACCAACTTCCGAATCCTGACCTCAGTATCCTCTACACCCCTTCCCCCAAACCTGATTCTTCTCCCATATTGCTGTCTAAAGCATGCCATCCTGCCACCTAGGCTACAAATGCAGAGGCTGTACCCCATCTTCTGTAAACCTATCTGGTCTCGTCTCCAGCACTGTAGAGTCGCTTGCTTCCAACCCTAATCTCTCGTTTCCAGTACAGCAGTGACCTCATGACTGGTTCTGCCTTAGATCCCTGTCATCCATCCTGTGCTGCCTTCAGACTGATCTTTGCTAAGAGTGATGCTGGTGAGGCTGACAGCGATGAGAATTATTGACAGCCAGATTCTATGAACGAGCTTTCCTCCATGTTCAGAGCCTAAAATCCTTATGACAACTAGACAAGTACAACATGAACACACCACACACACACACACACCACACACCACACACAGACACACACACCACACACACACCACACACACACACACACACACACACACACACACACAGAACTAGTATCATCAAAAAGCCTAGTGTGTCCAGGGTTCAGATACTGGCTCAATCCTTATCAACTGTGGGGAGCTCAGGCAAATGATTCACTGTTACAGAACCCAGGGATATAAAATAGCACTTCTGGGCTGTCCAGGGACTGAGTGAGAGTTTCTGTGAGCAGTAGCATCCTGCCTAGACCACAGCCGCTGGTAGCACAGCATTTTGAAGTAAGAAGGGTAGTATTCAGTCACTCTACAGCACCATAAAGGCCCCCTTCTGACTGAAACTCCCGATGCATTAGCAGGAAACCTTGGGAGCTACACCACTTACAACCAGACGGGATACATGCCTTCCTTTCTCAAGAAAGAAGTGGGATCAGCTGGCCAGAGGATCCACTTGGCACCTCTTGGTGCGTCGGCTTCCGGTAAGAGTGATCTCCTGATGTGGTCTGAGATTTCTTACTAGAAGAGGCTTTCCCTTAGATGACGATGAGATCTGTTTTCTTGAGGGAAGACTTAACTTACTCTCATGGTATTAACAGTTCCAAGTGGCTCCCCTCCCACAATGCTTTCTACCTGGTGCTTGGCCCCAGTACAGGCCCCAAGCAGCGTCAGCATTGAGAAAGGAAGGCACGCCCCTCCCCCACCCCTGAGGAGAGAGGTGTCTAGTGAAGGGTGATGGTGAGCGATGGGGAGACACAGAAGTTCAGCAAAGGAACAGCTAGTGAGGCAGAGAAGCCCAGAGTCCCCAGCCCTGCTCTGGGGACATGACTCCCTGACCAGCATCAGGACACAAGCTATGACAAAAACGAAGTTTGAACATCTACTGATCTCAAAGAACTTTCTAGAGTGAATGGCATGGCTACTATCTGCCCACGTGGGCAGGCACATTATATACAGCCAGTTTCTAGGGAGCCTCAAAAGTTTTAGACCAGCCTTCCGATGAGTCATTTACCGTGCTTCAACATCCATTTCTCATATGAGAAACAAAACGTGATGTTTAGAAACACTCCGCTATCTGGACTCACTTTCAGAAACGGAGAGTGGGTCTTTTTTACCAACAAAACAAAACAAAAACTACTAAAGGCGTTTCTGTCTCAAATCTGTGAGATTAGCATACATACGCCTGCTTTCAGTTTTTAAGTAAATTCCTCTCATAACTCTGCATCTCCCTGTTTACTCTGCTTATCAGATGTCCCTCCAGGCCTTGATAGGAGGAGAGGCAAAAAAAAAAGAAGTAAATATTGCTCACTCTCACGTGGTGCAAGCAACCCATTAGGAAAACACTGCCTTCCAGTGTCCCACAGGAGACACGACCAGGTCATTACTGTATTTACTGACTATCCCCTCTCCACTCATAGGCTCCCTCTCCGCCCCAACGCCTTCACAACCTCCTGTCCTCTCTCATAACCTCCTGACCTCTCCTTTCAAATCCTCTAATACTTCCTCATCCCCTGCCTCAAAAGTAACAAGACCAGGGGGAATGGTTTATGTCAACAGCCACCCACAGAAGCCACAGAGGCACCGCTGGGTGATTTTCCTGAGGAGTCTATTTCATTCACTCTTGATATCCAGGGTAGCCACAGATCCAAGAAATGATTCCATCCAAGTTGAGCCTGGTCAGTTTATTGGGGGTAACCCCCAACATGTGGACTGTTGAAAAGCCCACCCCAAGCATGGGCGACAAGTCACAAAAGCTGTCACTGGGTCTCCTACAGAATTTGCAGGCAGCTATATGACCAGTCTCCCCCGCCCCTCACCTCCCACCCCAGCAACTGTTTGTTGCTTAGCTGGCCTCTGGCAAAGGCCTGTGATTCAGATTCCTGAGCCTATAGAGTCTTACACAATTATGTATTCCCTCACCCTCTCCAAGCATCCTCTCCCACTCTGTACCCCACTCATGCCTCCATTTGGACCTGAGGCCGACTATGTTAGCTCACCACCTGACATTTTCATATTCCAACAGTTGCACCTTACTGGCTATTTCTAGGAAACACGGTGCCTTTACTGGCCCTTCAGGACACACAGGCTTGACCTTCAATAGGGATCGTATTCACTTTTGGAGCCCAGTAAGGACAGTATGAAGTGACCTGCCAGACCACAGACAGCATGTGCCCACCCCTCCCCCTAGCCCCCAAATACACTATATAGCAGTCAGGATGCCAGTCTGGGAAAGCAGACCAGCAAACACATTCTTCTGTGGAAGGTGCGAACTGGCCGGGTGCATCTCAGCAGCAATGCTGCATTTACTCCACGAGTGTCAGTGGCTGCCCTGAGTGAAAAGACAGATGAAGTTCAGTGCAAGGCCTGGTATCCTCCTCACATAGACTCCCCATAGACTTCCCATGAAACCTGGCTGCCAGGGTGAAGAGAGGAGGGCCTGAAGAAGACTTTCTAGTTCCCTGAATAATGGTTTATGCCTTTGTCATTGGGAGGTTTTTATGAAACAGACTTTATATCTCTCTCAAACCATAACAACCCACTAACACTGGACTAGCCGCTTACAAATCTTTACACAGTAAAGATAAAGATAACTTTGTCATTAAAGGTCTGGGCTCCTTTAAACACTCTGATTGGAGCTGGAGAGATGGCTCATTGGTTGAGAGCACTTGTTATTCCTGAAGAGGACCCAGGTTCAGTTCCCATCACCCACATGACTGTTCACGACTGCCTGTAACTCGGGATTCTGATGCCCTCTTCTGACCTTTTTGGGCATTGAACACACATGGTACACACACATATATGCAGGCAAAAACACTCGTACACATAAAACAAAAAGCAAATTTTTTTTTAAAAGATTACTCTTTAAGGGTTTGTGCAATTACCCATGGTTTTTCCAATAAAAAGATGAAGCTTGTGGCACTGGGCTACGGTTCACTGATGGAGCTCTTGTCTAGGTGCATAATACCTAGCTTCTGTTCCTGGT